GAACTACAAGACGTCAGCCATTCCCTCGACTCCTGTACTGGATAGGAAGTGAACCCACAATTCACCTGGCTACAGAATTACGTGGTCCTGGCAGTCTGCATGTCCATGGCAACGGCACACCAGGCCTGGCGAGGTATAACAGCAGAAATAAGGTCTAATACTGTTTCCCCTCACCCTTAGGTGAGGGATTATGTGGTAACCTTGACATCTTTTCTTTAAAAAAATGTTTGCTTTTTAGCACAGATCATTCCATGTCCAGAATGGCAATTCTGCAAAGAGGGAGGCGAGTATGAGTAGGCTGTGGGATGGGGATGGAGGAAGGGCAGGTTTCTAAGCCTTAGCAGCCAGTGGGCAGTATCTGATCCCAGGAAGGGCTGGTCCCCTGAGAAGCACCCAGGCTTGGCCTGCCCTGCACAAGCGCCAGCAATGAGTGAGCACAGTCATCCAGGCAGTGCAATCCCCACGGGCTGGCGGGTGAGAGGGCTGGTCAGAGGGACCCAGCTGACCTGGCTCACCGGGTGTAGGTGGGTACTGGTGATAATTAACTAGTAAATTCTAGGAGCAGCAACAGAGACAGGACCCGGGCTTGGCCCCAGCACAAGCTCTCCTGAGAAACCTGAGTCATCTCTTCCTATTGACGTATTGGGGAAAATCTCAAAGTGAACTGTTGAACCTGTCCTGTTGGTTTGGGGATGATTGCAGGTGATAGGCACAGGCATGACATTGAGCAACATGGTATTTATGGCTTTAAGGTTTCCTGCCAAGAGGTCTGGTGTTGGGCTAATGTCTTGGTACTCTTCCTTAATTCTTCCAGCCTGTGATCCCTAGTCAAGATTTCTTCTCCTTTATCCCACACCCCAGTCTCTTCTGCTCCATGCCCACATGCTTCCCCTTTCTTTACCCAAGTTATATTCTGACTCCCCAACTTTTAATGGCATTCCAGCTACATGACAATCAAAGGCAGCCTGGAAGAGAAGATAGGGCCAATCTTCTAAAAGTTCAACCTATTTAGACCCAAAGGGCTGCAAAGAAAGAAGGTGTTTATTGATGTGTTTAAGGACCCTAGGGTATAGGGGAGGAAGGCACTTTAAGATAGTTTTTATTATGAAATATTTCAGAGAATATATTATATATTTATATACATATAAAACACACAGAGAATAATATTTTAAAACACGTATCCACTACTCAGCTTTATCAAATCTTAATTTCTGCATATCTGCTTCTAGACATCTTTAAGAAATTGGCCACTACAAAAAAAAAAAAAAAAAAAAGGAAAGAAAGAAATTGGCCACTACATAGAAGCGAAATCCCCAGGATACTCTTAAATTTCACTTCTAGCATCTACCCCACACTTCATTGTGTTTACATTTTACCTCATTTGCATATATCCCTAAACAACAGCTAGACCATCTTGTAGGTTTTAAAACTTTATATAAACCATATTGTTCTCTATGAGTCCTCCCATCTTTTTTGTCCAGTGGTGGTGTTTGAGATTTATACATTTAGCTCACCTGCTTCGTTTTTACCTGCAAGGTAGTATTACATTGTACAAATACACTCAGTATGTTTACCCACTTTCCTGTTGATGGACATGTAGGATATTTCCAATTTTTCATACAGCAATGCTACATCCTTGTATGTGACAAGACATTCTTTTTAAAAATATTTTATTTATTTATTCATGAGACACAGAGAAAGAGAGGCAGAGACACAGGCAGAGGGAGAAGTAGGCTCTATGCAGGGAGCCTGACGTGGGACTCGATCCCGGGTCTCCAGGATCACGCCCTGGGGTGAAGGCGGCGCTAAACCACTGAGCCACCCGGGCTGCCCGAGGCTTTTATTTGTATGAGAGAGAAGGGGAGAACAGATACTGGGGAACAAGTAGCAGTCTTTAAGCCTGGAATTTAAGTCTAGAATAATGATAATAAATGGAGTGTAGAACTTTCAAAGCAGTAGAGTTGAGAATGAAATAAAGTCTATTAAGTCTAGACCAGAAAGAAAAAGAGTATTAAAAAAAAAAAAGGAGTAAATAGAAGACACAAAATGCAGTGGTAGAAATAAATCCAAATATATCAGTCACAGGAGACATATATAAGAATGTTTTATCAGGACAGATTATTTTCTCAAGCATTCAGTTGTTCTGGATCATATATTTATCTTTACTATGGGTTCTGTTTTCCTGGGAGAATCCTGTGTGATCTGCTGAGGTCTTGTTTCTCTAGAGAGGTTCTGTATCTATTCCTACGAGGTCTCCTAGGGTCATCACTGGCCTAGGATTTAGCATTCCTAATCCACACAAATAGTATAGTATAAATTCTAATGCTAAACCAGTACTATCAACAGGTTCTCAAGGAGGACTTTTATTTTGCTTTCTTTCTTTCTTTCTTTTTTTTTTTTTTTTCTGTTCAGAGCCTTGGCTAAGCATGAAATGCTGTTTTGTTATCTCCCTGTATTGGTAGATGATTTTTTTCCTTGTCTACCTTTTTATTTATGGTAAAGTACTTTCATAGTCCTGACTTTACATGAAAGTTTCAGTTTCAGCTCCAGCTTCCAACGCGCCAGACCTCATCTCTGTCTCCACAGATTAAACCTCACACCGCTCACTGCTACAGGGAGGCCAGTCACACAGCCTGTCCTACTGAGCTGCCAGAGTTGAGTACCACTTGGGTTTTCCTCTTCATTTTGCCCACTATTTTCTTCAGTTTGTGGCTCTAAATAATATTAATTTAAATATTTAATCCAATATTTCTAGGTGTTTCACAGCAGTCTTTTTTTTAAAGGTTATTTTGTGGTCCACATTACTAGGAACAGAAGTCTCTTTCCTCTGACATCTTTTAAACCAGCCGGGAGACCCTTACTTATCCTCCACTCACATATCCTAAGGCAAAGTTCTCAAACTCTACAGTGTACAAAGTTAATTTCTGGGAGCTCGTTAAACATGCAGACTATGAGCAGCACCCCCAGGAGCCCTGGATCAGGAGGACTGGGGTGGGGCCCAGGAATGTACGTGCTTAGTAAGCTCTCCAGGTTTCTGGCATGGGTGACAAGGACCATCCTTTGAGAACCACTATCTAAGGCCTGCTTCCCTCTTGCTGAGGTGGCTGAATTTCACCCTATCTTAGTACCTGAATCACAGCCACAGGAACCCTGCTGGTTTCTGTTTTGCAAAGCCTGAAGTAGGAGACAGCAATGACAACAGACCCAAAGTTCCCAAGTTCTACTTCAGGCTAGTCCAGGGCCACTACCTCAGCAGTGGAAATGCAGAATAATGCCAATAACTTGTCTTCCTAGACTTCAGGGAGGGGGGGTTATCAATAAAACAGGCCATTTCCTCAGGCTTTACAAACCAGACTTTGACATTACTTAAAGAGGAGTGGACTGAATTTCATTTTTGTACTACAAAAGAAAGGTTGGCTAAGCAGATGGATAATGTAAACAAAACTAGAAAGAAGATAGTTGATTCGGTTAATATATATACATATATACGTGTGTATGTGTGTGTGTGTGTGTGTGTGTGTGTGTGAGACTGTGTGTATGTATTACTGCAGGTCTCTACTCCCCATATAGGTTATGCTCCAAAATGCTTCTGAAAGTTAGCTGTTTAGAATGCACTTTCTTAGAGAAACATTACAAATGATGGTCAGTTTTCCAGACCAGCCCACCTTAGCCTAGAAAGCCAATAATTGTTCCCATTTAAGGCCTATTGCATGCCCGAACCTTTATATATGTGACCTGACACAATTCTCAAAATAACTGAAAGGCAGACATTTGTGTCCCTCCCTTACCGGTGAAGGGACTTGCCAGGGTCACACAGCTAGTAAGTGGCAGAGCCAGGTGGGTCTGGCTCCAAAACCTGTGTCCTGGGATCCCTGGGTGGCGCAGCAGTTTAGCGCCTGCCTTTGGCCCAGGGTGCGATCCTGGAGACCCGGGATCGAATCCCACGTCGGGCTCCTGGTGCATGGAGCCTGCTTCTCCCTCTGCCCGTGTCTCTGCCTCTCTCTCTCTCTGTGTGACTATCATAAATAAATAAAAATTAAAAACAAAATTTTTTCAAAACCTGTGTCCTTATCACCAGGAAACCAGGCTGCCTTCCATAGCTCTTAGGCTTAATAGAAGGTGACAGTAGGTTAAGGATTTCCATTTTTCTCCCCTAAAACATCTTTCTTCACACTGAAAAAGAAATAAAGGAATAACAGAACCTCCACTGCAGCCACAGTTGACGCAAGAGGTAATAGAGGACCAAGAAGATTTCTATCATTTCTCTGAAGCAGGAAAGAATGCAAGATGCAGCTTAGTAAACTGCTTTGATTTTGGACTTAAAAAAAAACAACACCCTGGATTTCATTTTGCATGTGTGGAAAGTATCTTATTACAAGTTCACCTTCTGGGCAGCCCCGGTGGCTCAGCGGTTTAGCACCGCCTTCAGCCCAGGGCATGATCCTGGAGACCCAGGATTGAGTCCCAGGTCAGGCTCCCTGCATGGAGCCTGCTTCCTCTCTCTCTCTCTCTCTCTCTCTCTCTCTCTCAATCTCTCTGTGTGTGTCTCTCATGAATAAATAAATGAAATCTTATAAATAAATAAATAAATAGCTCACCTTCCTGCAATGAGTAGTAAACAAGCTTAGGGATCTAATGCACACTATAGTGAATATAGACAATAGTGCTGCATTATAATCATCAAACTTGCTAGGAAACTGAAACTTAATTATTCCAACCACTGAAAAGAAATGACAATTATGTAATGGGATAGAAGTGCCAATTACCACTACAAAGGCAACCATATTATAATATATAAATGTCTCAGATTAACATGTAGTGTACCTTAAATTATATAATGTTATATGCCAAATATACTTCAATTAAAAATTGGGTAATAACTCAAAAAGAAGAAGGAGAAGTGGAAGAAGGAGAAAGTTCACCTTTCCCAACTCTGTCTCTCTGGCTCTGGCTCTGGTAGAGACCTGTGCGGCGACACCAGTTAGCTCTCCAGGACTCACCTTGTCCGCCAGCAACTCCCGGATCTTACTGGCCTGCAGGCGGAACCGGAAGAGCTGGGTTTCCAGGGCCAGGCAGCGCTTCTGCCAGTCCACGCTGGCCCGGGGCTCCACCTTGAGTTCTGCCATGACTGGAGCAACTTCCAGCTGTTCCAGGGAGCCCTGGGAGCCAGCACACAGCGAGGGGAGAGGATCAGTAAGGATGTGAAGAGGAGGGCCGAGAAAACAGGGCTAGGGGATGCCAGTCACTGCTCTCCCTCTGTTCCACCTCCCTTAGCTCAGTGTGTCCCGTTCAGTCATAAGTTAGCTGAGCAAACTCAGGAACTCATTGTGACAGCCATAAAAAAAAAAAAAAATAGGGCCTCGTTTGTTTTTCATTTGATTACTTATTTAACAAATATGTATCCATTCAACAAACATTTATATGCTAGACACTGTTCTAGGCACTGGAGATGCAAAGGTAAATAAAAGAGGTTCCCTTATCTTTGAGTTTTCCAAGGAACTCTTAGGAAAGTCTAATAGCAAAATTACCATGTACTCAAATTGCTTCAATACGCAGATAAATGGGAGCAGGGAAATGGGGTAGACTGTGGGGGAAGGAATGATGAGGGGGACGATGTTTAGGGGAGACTTAAAGTGAGGGACAGATTCATTTGAGATCACATAGTTAACTGGAGGAAGAACCCTGGTTTCCAGTTTAGTAATGATTCTACTACACCTATATAGATTTATCTATTTAACAATTAGTCTTTCTCTCTTTCTTTCTTTCCTCTTCTCTCCCTCCCTTCTTTCTTTCCTTCAGGTAGGCTCCATGCCCAATGCGGGACTTGAACTCACGACCCTGAGATCAAGAGTCCTATGCTCCACCAACTAAGCCAGCCAGGTGCCCCCATCTATATAGATTTTTATTTTTTTATTTTTATTTTAAAGATTTCATTCATTTATTCATGAGAGACACATGGGGGTGGAGGGGCACAGACACAGGCAGAGGGAAAAGCAGGCTCCATGCAGGGAGCCTGATGTGGGACTCAATCCCAGGCCTTCAGGATCACACTCTGGGCTGAAGGCGGCGCTAAACCACTGAGCCACCGGGGCTGCCCTTATATAGATTTTTAGAGAAAAAGGTGTTCTCTTTTGGAACAGATTCTCACCCTAAGTTCGAAAATGCAAACCAAAAAATTGGTAGACATTTTGCTGTAGACTGTAGGTAGACTACAGAGGTAGACTCTGGGGAATGCCACAAAGTCTTTGGATCAATTATACAAATTCAGAGCAAATCAAGTAGACACCTATAATATTCCCAGTTGGGGGAATATACTCAGATGTCTCCTGGACAAATTTTAGAGAAGATAAATTAGGTTGGGGATGAGAAAATACAGAAGCAGAGAGAGAGGACACAGAAGACTGAACACAAAGGAGCAATGAGCTGGAAGACACATCTGTCATCAGGACTTTAAAAATAGGGATCCCTGGGTGGCGCAGCGGTTTGGCGCCTGCCTTTGGCCCAGGGCGCGATCCTGGAGACCCGGGATCAAATCCCATGTCGGGCTCCCGGTGCATGGAGCCTGCTTCTTCCTCTGCCTATGTCTCTGCCTCTCTCTCTTTCTCTCTCTGTGACTATCATAAATAAATTAAAAAAAAAACAAAATAATAAAATAAAAATGCCCCTCCCCCCCAGTAATAATGATGCTTGGCAACAAGCATAAATTTGGTCTGCCCCAAACCATGACATATGATTACTGGAGCATCAGGTGATTGTTAAGGAATGACTTTTAGTTTTTTAGGTTGATAATATTTTTACAATGTGATCAGTCAGAGTTACATATGACTTACAGGAGAAATGATATAATCTGGGATATATGCCTTAAAACACTTTATGGTAGGAATGCTGGACGGCTTTGTCCTTTAGGCGTCTGCCCTTGCAGGACATGGGATCAAGCGGAGTCCAGCTCCCTGTTCACTAGGGAGTCTGCATCTTCCTCTCCCCTACCCCTGCATGTGCTCTCTCTCTGTCAGATAAATAAATAAAATCTTTTAAAAATAAAACAAAATAAAATACTTCATGGTTAGGGGGTTAGCAGTAGTGTGGGGAGGAGATATATGAAATAAGATTTATCAAATTGCTGATATTTTGAAGCTAGTTGATGGACACCTGGGAGTTCTTTATATTTGTTTCTCTATTTGAATACATGCCTAGAGAGTTCTGTACTAAAAATTTGTTTGTAAATCCCTTTTCACTTCTTTAGGAGCCACATGGCCTCAGAAAACCCAGAACCTCCTGTACTGTTGCCGGATACTACCTTGGTAACCAATGAGCTTATCTTCAATGGGTTAATCACCTCACATTTGACTTTTACAAGTATCTGTCTCCCATACCACAAATAGCTATGATTTATTGTGTTCTTATTGTATGCCAGGCCTGTGTGGCCTCTTTAATCCTCATGAAGATATGCAAGGCAAGACACTCTCACAATGAGGACAGTGAGGAACTGAGAGGCTATACAGAGTTCTAGAGCCAGTAAGTAGTGGGGATGGTATACTTGTTCCAAAATTCCTACTCTTAGCAACTGTGCTCTTTACCTATCCAGAAACTGAAAAGAATTCTGATTTCACAAAGAGTGAGCTGGATTGTTAAGAATGAGAGAACTATTTTATGGGATCTTTCAGGATCCTTGGCACTAAGGTGAACCCATATTCAAGATTTTCCAGGGCATCCTGGTCTCAAACATTCTGACACCACAACCTCTATAAGCACAGACATTTATCATGAGTCTTGACTTTCCATTTAGAACGCAGGGTCAGTAGACCTGTAGAGAAAGGCCCAACAATTAAACACTGATGGGTCTAGTATCTAAGTCTTTGGGTTCTGGGCAGCTCAGAACACTGGACATGTGACCTCAGCCCTGCTCTCCCAGGACTGTCATACCGAACAATCCCAACATTGTGACCTCCCAGCAATCCCCACCTCAAAAGACTGGGACCGACTGGAACGGGGCAGGAAGACAAAAGACAAAAACAAAACATGACCTTCTCTGAGCTAAGATCACAGCTGAAAAGACAAAACAGAACCTTGTAGAGCCTCTGGAGAAGAGAAGGCCGGGAGGCTTCATCGTGTTTGATTTGCTTTGTCCTTTAAAGGGATTTTGCTTTTTCTCATATGAATAAAAAAAGCGGCAGATCTGAAAGTAGGACCTGGGAGTCTTGCAATCTAGCTAAGGGCTAAGAATTAGCAGTAAAAACACCCAAATAACACCAAGGGGCAAGAGAAACTTAATCCTTTCGTGGCATTGAAAGAGTTTGGTGTATTTTAATTACCTGTTATTGACTGTCAAAGCTGCAGCTCAGATTTCATGAGGACAGTGAAAAACCAAATCATCAAAATCTCCAGGAGCTTTGGAAGTAAAACACATCACTGGCCTCTGCCTAGCCCTGATATCTGAAATTATACCTAGACTGCAGGGAGTCCTTTCCCAATCAAGCATCTTATGACATCACATTTTTGAACAGATCAAGTGCTCTGCTGAAGCCTCTCCCTGCCCTGGAAATGCTAGTGTGGGGGCTGGACTTGTGCTAGGCTTGTCTCAGCATGTGAGGAGAGCTATAAGCTTTCAAAAGGGAACTGGAGCAAGGTGCCTACTGCCAAGCACATGGCCCAGAGGCTCTTCCGACAGAAGCAGGTGGTTGCCCCAGCAGCTATAAAACATGAGATGTTAAGGCAAACTACCAGCAAATTGAACTTCACCTGCTAAATCACCTCACACTTGTCTCTCCCATAAAGATGTGCAAAGATGAGCAGAAGAGAATTTACAGAATGGTTTTTAACTTTCCAAAGTATTGTGACAGGTGTGATTTCTCTCCTGCTCCTCTCAATATCCCTGAGATGTAGGACAAGAGATATTATTCACAATGAACAGATAAGAAAACCCAGTACATCCATGACTTGAGATACAGACCTAAGTAGTATCAGAACTGGGCCAAAAATCCCAATCTCCCAACATATAGAACATCCTCTTTCTGTGCAGATGCTTCAATAATGGTGGCGGAGTCTCATGCTATCTGACTAGCCTAACACAGAACATTAATGGCAAAACAGATGGGGAGATGAGAGAAGGGACAAAACCTAGTACAACTGTTCATTTTTTATTCTGGAAAGCTTAAAATATATACAAGTAGGGAGAATAGTACAGTAAGTCCCCATATACCCTCCCCCCCAGCTACAAAAATCAACTCATGGCCACTCTTGTGAAACCCACTTCTCTTGATTCCTACTAGCGCCCAGCATGCTAAACTGCTCAGTCAGTCTAACCTACTCAGACAGTCAAATGACTGCACCACCTGGAGCCCTGCTTTGGAACTCCCTCAGTACCCCGGCATCCTGGACTGACACAGCCCAGAGGTTGGTGGAGTATACTTCTGAGGCAGGGGCTGGGGCTGCGTGCAGGGTGGGTGATGAAAAGAGCCCACAGGGATCATCAGGTAACCTCAGACTCTAGGCCTATATCAGAGAAAACACAGACTTGACCTGGGATGGCTTTGGTAAGTTTAGGGATTTGACCAGAAATTGACAAGATGCTGAGATTAAATTTAATTCAACTAAAAAATAAAAAAAATAAAAAATAAAAAAATAAATGAATAAATAAATAGATAAATAAATAAATAAATAAATAAATAAATAAATAAATTTAATTCAACCAACTTTTGTGAAGTGATTCCTATGTACAAGGTTGGGGACATAAAGATGAGTAAAGATCCCATGGCTTGCGAGCCTTAGGTCTATAGTCTGCATATCCTGGAACTTCCCTGCAAAGAGGACCAGCCAATACAAGACCCTAAAAGAAAGAGGTCAGAGGTCACTGCAGGTGGCTTCACAAGGTATCAGCGACTCTGTTCTGGGTACAGTTTCCACTGGGTTCTCCCATGTCACCTCACTATGGTTCACTCCCTGAGTGTGAGCACCTTTTGTCACTTCCGCTTGCTAGTGATGGGCTACCACCATCTTCTAAAAGTGCTCGACTTTGTTGGCCACCCGTCCAACTGTGGGAAAGAAGAGCTTTGTGCCCTCTTTCTGGGGATAGAGCTGCGGGAGGGTGAGTAGACACAAGTGCATAGCTCCTTCTGCCCGCACCTTGTCATCTGATCAAGCCAACAATATGCATTTTACTCTTGGGTGCTAAGCAGCACATTTCACAACGTTGGAAGAGACAGGAAAAGGCGAGCATGTTCCAGCCTCCCGGGATTTAAATACCAGAAGGGACTAGGACAATCAGAAGTAGCATCGTTTGAGAACATAACCAGTAAAGAGAAACAGCAGAGTGTAGTACTTACGGTCCTCCCCTCCCTTCTGGCATCAAACAAGCCTGGGTTTGAGTCCTGGCTCTGGCACTAATTAATCTTGTGACCTTAAACCATTTGCTTAACCTCTTGAGCCTTCAGCGCCATTTTGAAATTGAAAGTAATAATACTTCAAAAGGAGGGCAATAATATTAGGCTGAATCGTATGAAATTATCAGCATTTAATGATTTTTTGACCTTCAAAAATGGCAACTTCAGGGATGCCTGGGTGGCTTAGTCCGCTAGGTGTCTGACTCTTGGTTTCAGTTCACATCATGATCTCACGGATCGTGAGATTGAGCCCCGCACCTGTGTGGGCTCTGCTCTTACCTGAGAGTTCTCTTGAAGATTCTCTTCCTCTGTCCCTCCCCCCACTTGTCCCGTCTCTCAAATAAATAAATAAATCTTTTTTAAAAATGGCAATTTTATAGACCACACTATGTCATTTCTTTTGAGAATTAAAGGTGATATTACAGAAGCCTGGCATACAGTAAGCACTCAATAATGACAGCTACAATCGACAGTGAAAAGGCAAACCACCAGTTCCTGGGTATACTAGGGGATGGGGTCCATAGATGTGTTCACTACCAGATCCATTTCAGCAAGAACGGGATTTTTAAAAATTATTTTATCTCATTATTTTTGAATACTGAACAAAAGAGTATATGGTATAAAGTAAGGCTTCTTCCCACCCCTCTACATCAGCCACAGTTCTCCCCAGAGGCAGCTGTGCTATGGGGCTTTATGTCTTTCAGAGATATCCAGTGCAGACACAAGCATTCACATATATGTTGCATGCACAACACAAACACAAATGGTGACACACAATACATCTCGGGGCCCCACGGTGGGCCCTGTGGAGCTGGGGGGAGATGCAGGGTTGAGGACCACGAAGTGCTTGTTTTGAGAGACCCACACAAGTCTTGAGATCTTTGGGGTGGAATAAGAGCTGGAAAGTCTAGAGAAGTTTTCTGAGTGGACATGGCATTTGAGCGGAGTCTCAAGTGTTGTAGAAATACTTCTTCTCATCAATTAATAAATGTTTACTGGAGAAAAAAAATACACACTGTACTTAATACAATACACACTGTACTTAACCTATAACTGAGAGTTCTTCCTATATCAACATACACACCTGACCTGTCCTCCCTCCATGCTTTTTAACAGCTGTATTGTATAAGGGTCCCTTATTGACAGACATTTGGGCTGTTTGAAACCTTTAGCTAAAACAAAGCTGCAACAAATATATGTCATTCCATAGGCATCAGAGTATATCTGAAGGATAAAGTTCAGAAATGGAATATCTGAAGGATAAAGTCCCAGAAATGGAAATGCAGGATATACATTTTTAAGTGGCCAAATAGTCCAAATCGCCTTCCCCAAGACTATTCGAATTCATATTCCAGCCAGCAATAAGTGCCTGCTTCCCGACGGAGGAGATCAGTTTTGAATTCATTCTTGACAGAAGGGAGAGAAGGCTCAGCTGGGCTATCCAGAGAATGCAGGATGGTGGCTCAAGAGCCAGCCTGCTGTGGACTCGCCCAGATCAGGAGTGAGGGAATCCTCACACCTTAACATCAGCGTGTATCAAGCACTCTTCAAACCACAAGGAGCACAGAGTTCCCTATATGGTTACACAGCCTCACAGAGAAAAGGGACTAGTAAAGACGAGGGCACGGTGAGGGAGCAGAGTAGGAGGTACATGCTTCTTCCCTAGAGCTGGTGACTTCTGAAAAGGGCAGAGCGGCACCACATTTTCTCAACTCAGTTGTTAGTCTCAATGAGTTGGGACCACAGGGTATCCCCACCCCCACCCCCATAACCTAGCTCTAAGCGGGTCCTCTCAGCAGCCTACTGGACGGAAAGTGGGCAAGGGTGAACCACATCCCGCATGTGGAATACAGGAGGCTTGGGTCTGAGTGTTGCCTCTTCCACTTTTTTAGCTATATGACCTTGGGCAAATCACAATTTCTCTGAGTCTGCTTTCTCCTCTGTAAAGCGGGGATAATAACACGCAGAAACTCTATCAAGTGTTAGATGGCATTACCATACAGAAGTGTTCGGTGTTCGGTGACATCACCATACAGAAAGTCTGGCAGGTAGAAGACAGTCCAAAAAGCCTGGCCAAAGAACTCACGACTTTTCCCATGCAATTGTCATTAAGATGATCTTTCAAAGCAGAAAACGTTTTACCTGGAACTGAGGCTCCGTACAAAAGAGTTTTATGAGATGGACTCACAGTAAAAGTCCTAGAGATGTCCTGGAAGGGACAGATCCAACAGGGAGCGGATTCTACTTCCAAGTGAGGGTCTTCACTGCCTCTGCCTCCCCTGCACCCCGGCCCCATGGAGGTGCCCAGGTGACAGAGTCCTCTCTAAGGCTCCCAGGACACAAAGCTCCTGCCTGTCACTCAGTGCCCAACTTGTTTTCTTTTCTGCTCGGCTGGCCCGCTTCTAGGAGTCGAGCCTGACCCCACAGAGTCCACAGAGGGGCCGCCGAGAAATCACAGAAGAGATTACCTGAGGCGAGGCGGGGAGGAGAGCCGAGGGGGGACGCGAGCGAGAGGCCGGGCGGCGCGGCGGAAAGCCTGCAGCGCGCCCGAGGCCCTTCCCGGGGGCGGCGGGCCCCAGCCGGTCCCACAGTCCCGCTCCTGCCGAGGCGGGCGGCTCCTCCCGAGGGGGGCGCCCCCAAGCCCGCCCGCGCTGCCAGCGCCCCGAGCGCCAGGTGGGGAGGCACCTGCTCCGGAGTCGCCCACGGCCGGGGGCGGCCGGTCCTCTGCGCCCCGCCCGTGCCCCGGGGCCGCGCACACCCCGCGCCCCGCCTCCCGCCGCCCACCCGGGACCCGGGCGCCCTCCGCTGACCTCGCGTCCTTCTGGGCGGGCTCCGCGGCGGCCGCCGGGTCTCCGCTCGGCGGCGGCCGGGGGCGCGGGGCGGGGGGGGGGGGCGGGGCGCGGGGCGGGGCGGGGGGTGCCGGCGGGGCGGGGCGGGGGGTGCGGGCGGGCTGGCCGCGCAAAGCCGAGCCGGGCCTCGCGGCGCCCCCTGCAGCGCGGCGCCGCGCCCCCTCCTTCAAGGCCGAGGCCGCCGCGGCTCCTCGGGCGGCTCGCGGGCAGGCACAGGAAATGACCTCAGCGGGCTCCAGCCTCCCCGCTCTCCGCGCCGCCGGGCCGTCCCCGGGGCGGCGGGGTCTCCGGGCGCCCAGCTCCCCGCGGCGGAGGGCGGCCGGAGCCCCGAGACCCGCTGGGCCGCGAGACCAGACCGTGCCACCCCCACTACCACCACCACCACCACCAGCACCACCAAGGAGGTTCCAGCATGTGCTGGCGACCTGTGAAAACTGTGCCGCCGCCCAGATACTTGCAGCAGAAGTCCTGTTTCCAACAGTCTGTCCCAATCCCACACCCATGTTCTGGTTTGTAATTTGGGGGGGGGGGGGGAAGTCATCACGACCCTGAAAGTAACTTGCTTATGTATGTATGTATGTATGTATGTATGTGCATTATTTATGTTGAAAGAGCCGGCCAAGAAGCCAGAAGGCCAACAGGACACTGCTTGCTGGGCAGCTTGCAGAGAAGTCTTCATACTCTTGTTCTTCAAGGCCTTGCAGTCCCTTGGCTCACCAGTACAAGCCTGCACTCACAGGGGATTGGAACCCCCAACTTTTGGTAAAGAAGATCAATATGGAGAACACTGCAAGGAAGGATCCACATTTCAAAGCCGCTTTCTTCCCCAACCCTGTAGGCTCTGTCTAGGCCTGAACAGAGACGACCACCACCAGGGCCATTTCACCAAAGGGGCTTTGGAAGACTATCTCCAGGCCGTGATGAAGGATCCCTCTGGCTCCACCTCTAGTTTGAATTAGAATCTCTGGAGGTGAAACTGCTAGATTACCCAGCTAACAAGCTGCCCAGGCAATTCTCATGCACAACTTTGAGAGCCCAGATGATATAGAAAGCTGGTCCCAATCGTTCAGGAGGCCAAGGCAAAAGTTCAACTGGGCCGATGGGACTCCAGGGGTTTAACTTGCAAATGGACTAGAGCTCCTGGGGATAGAGATAGATCAACCCCAGACTGTGGGACAACTGGCCTCTGCTATCCCTTCAACACTCAGGAAGATGCCTAAGGTAGCCCAAAAGCAAGTCTTATTAAGGGTCATTCATTCATGCCTTCATTCACCCTTTTTTTTTTAAGATTTTATTTATTTATTCATGATAGACGTAGAGAGAAAGAGAGACAGAGACACAGGCAGAGGGAGAAGCAGGCTTCATGCCAGGAGCCCGACGCGGGACTCAATCCCAGGACTCCAGGATCACGCCCTGGGCCAAAGGCAGGTGCTAAACTGCTGAGCCGCCCAAGGATCCCCCTTCATTCACCTTGAATAGCTAATCATGCACATACGTTTCAAATAATATGGAAGAGCTAATGCTGAAAAATGTCTACCTCCCATCCTGCCCTTATGCTCCAGATCACTCCTCCCCAAACACAAAATTTCCTTTCAACATATTTTATGCATAAAGTATTCATAAATCCATATTCATTTATATATATATACACACACATACATATATATATTTGACCCTTGAACAGCATGCATTTGAACTGTGCAGATTCACTTATACATGGATCTTTTCCTTTTCCTTTTTTTTTTTTAAAGATTTTATTTATTTATTCATGAGAGACACAAAGAGAGACAGGCAAAGACAGAGGCAGAGGGAGAAGCAGGCTTCTTGCAGGGAGCTTGATGTGGGACTGGATCCCGGGACCGCGGGACCACACCCTGAGCCAAAGGCAGCCGCTCAACCACTGAGCCACCCAGGCGTCCCTCTTTTCCTTTTTTTTTTTTTTTAAAGATTTATTTATTTACTTTAGAGGCAGGGGTGGGGGTGAGGGTGGGTGGGTGGGTGGGTGGGGAGGGACAGAGGGAAAGAGAGAGAATCTCAAGCAGACTCCCAACTGAGCAGAGTCCAATGTGGAGCTCTATCTCATGCCCCTGAGATCATGACCAAAATCAAGAATCAGAGGCTTGGGTGGCCCCGATGGCCCAGTGGTTTAGCGCCGCTTCAGCCCAGGGTGTGATCCTGGAGACCCTGGATCGAGTCCCACATCGGGCTCCCTGCATGGAGCCTGCTTCTCCTTCTGCCTGTGTCTCTGCCTCTCTCTCTCTCTCTCTGTGTGTCTGTCATGAGTAAATAAATAGAATCTTAAAAAAAAAAAAAAAAGAAGAACCAGAGGCTTAACTGACTGAGCTCCTACATGGATCTTTTTCAATAAATGTATTGGAATATTTTTTGGAGACTTGTGACAATTTAAAAAAACTTGCCCGTGAACCACATACCTAGAAATACGAAAAAAATTTAAGAAAAATTCAGTATTATTGTAAGAATACAGTATTTAATATATAACATACAAACTATGTACTAATCAACTGTGTTATCAGTAAGGTTTCTGGTCAACAGTAGACTACTAGTTACATTTCTGGGGAGTCATAAGTTATACTCAGATTTTTGACTACATGGAAGTTGGTGCCCCTAACCCCTGGCATTGTTCAAGGGTCAACTAGATAGAGAGATAGAGAAATAGATAGATTCATGTATATCTATTTATAGCCCCTTTTCAACACTAAGAAAGCATCTCTTGCCTTTTTTCCCTTAACATTACCATTTGTTGACTCTGTGTGACATATCAGCACACTTAGAAATGCCTTACTTTTTTAGGGGTTCCCTAGTGTTCCTAATGATGGATATTTAGGATATTTCCAATCTTTGGCTATTACGTACCTTGCTACAGTGAATATCTCTGTACATACTTCTTGGTCCACATTAATGACTATCTTTATGGTTTAATATTTAGAAGTGGAATTTCTAGCTCTAAACACATTATGAATTTTCAATTTCAATAGATGCAACCGAATCCCCCTCAGAGGGGACTACACCAATCTACACTTCTATCAGTGTGTTGAGTGCCTCTTCAGTCCCTCCCACCACACCAATTAAGTGATTTATCACAAAGTTCAAAGCTTTTAGAAAGGGAGGATTAAGTGAGTTCATATGCATGGATGATTTTCAAACACTGCTAGCAGGCAGAAAGGCTCAGGGAAACATTAGCCTTTAGTCTCCCAACTGCACTCCTCCCTATGACCTCTCCCTTCCTTTGGGCTCTGTCTCAATACCAGCTCTGGAAACTCCAGCAAGTTCCTTAGCCTCTCTGGGATTCTGTTTCCTTTTCTCTAATGTGCAAATCATAATGTCTCTCTCTGGAGTTGGTTTGAGGATTCAATCAGATAATAGAGTTACATAAATTTTGGGATCCAATCATTGTTTAATAAGTGATAGCTATTCTTCCCTCAAACTTCCCCCCTAGCTTTAATTTTGAAAATTTCAAACTGACAGAAGTTGCAAAAGTAGTGCTTTAACCACCCATATACTCTTTGCCTAGATTTACCAGTTAACGTGCTCCCACATTTGCTCTCTCTCTAGGTCTTTACACATATATATTATATTACATTATATTATATATTTATGTTACCTATTTATATTATGTATTTTATATATTTTGATATATCACATATAATATGATATAATATATATTTTTTGTCCTCGGCCATTTGAGAGTTGTACATATCATGACCTTTACCCCTGAATACTTCAATATGTACCTTCCTAAAACAAGAGTATTCTAACACTATCATACTTAGGAAACTTATCATTTTTTTAAGGATTTTATTCATTTATTCATGAGAGACACGGAGAAAGAGACAGAAACATAGACAGAGGGAGAAGCAGGCTCTTTGCAGGGAGCCCGATGTGGGAACTCAATGTGGGATTCCATCCCCCACCCCAGACGCCCAACCACTGAGCCACCCAGGCGTCCCAAGGAAACTTATCATTGATATTACTATCGTTTACCATACAAATCATATTAAAATTTCTCCAATTGTCCCAATAATGTCCTTTATAGCTGAGTTTTATAGCTCTTTGATTTTTATTATTAGTTTCTACCTAATACTCACCAGTGTGAATGGATGCCTAGAGGAGAATGGGCTCATCCCCTCCTCTGCTCCAGGGAGAAGAGTGCCTCCCACAACTCTAGAGCCACGTATTCCTCAGGGCTGCAGGTAATCAATAACCAGGCTAGCAGGGAAGATCACAGGCAGGGCAGAGTGTTCCATCTAATGCTAGGGATTGTCCCACCAGCCCTCTTTGCTGATGTTGCCTCCTCTGTCTGACCCCAGCCACCCCATGCTGGCTGCCTGGATAGGTTCTGCCCACCTACGCAACTCTGGTTGGGTTTCTGGTGTCTCCTGTCCCCATGGTCCTAGTCAGCAGAGGCAGCTGTATGGGCTTCAGTGAGGGAAGCTTGGCCCCTCTGTCACCCTCAACCACACCCTCCCCATGCCACCTCGTCCCAGGGATGAATTGCTATGGCCCCCCTACACACACTACTTAACCCTGGAATTAAGGGTTGAGCTGTCGAGACACTTCTTTTTCTCCACAATCTTTCTATCTTAAGCAGCCTTCTCTGTAGCCTTCCATGGCTCTGAGGCTGCGAGTCAAACTGGCCACTGACTGTATTCAGACAGTAACATCAGCTGATACTCTTATGCTTCTCTTCTCCCCTCTGATTCTTCTTCCCTTTTATTCATTCATTCATTTGTTCATTCATTCATTTATGATAGCTGACTTTTAAGTTGTTCTAGGTACTCCATTAGACGCCCAGTGATAAACTCGGATAAACCATCTCCTTGCTTCCAGCCTCAGTTTGTCCTGGTAAAGCAGGGAAATTATTAC